AGTCATTCATGAGAAAATTGGGTTCTCATTAGTTGACAACAAATTTTCTCTAATGCAATGGATCTTTCTTCTCTAGGAAAACTCTTTTTTTTTTCTTTTTTTTTTTTTTTTTGTTATCATTGTTTGATTTTGTTTTCTCAGTGGTCTTGATGATCATTTCAATTTTTTCTGAAATATTTTTTTTTCATGGGGAATCACCACTGGTATGTCTTGAAACAGATATAGTAAGTAGACTTTCTGTTCAGAACTCAAAGTTTCCATGACTCTTCAGAACAAAAGTATGCTCTTCTGAATAGAAATTTTGCATGGAGTCCAAAGAGCCCAAGGAGATAGAAGGGATATTTCTGGAGGAACTTTTACCCACTCAGTGATGAGTACAGACAAGCTTGTGCCAAACATTAGAAAACATGCAACATCAATGACAAAAAAGAAAGAGCCCATCAGAAGAGATGAGAACAAAGACAGGAAAATGATCATTTCAGAAGAAATTATGATGATCATTTCAGAAGAAATTATCCTGTCTTTTCAAGACAATTAGTTTAAAAACAAACAACCTGCATTGCTATTAAAAAAAAATGCTTAAAAATTTGCTAAAAAAAACTATGCTAGGAAGTAATTTTGTTTCGTATAAACCAGTTAATTTCTTCCTATTGAAACTTGCTAACAAAAACGTGGCCTTTTCAGATATGTTTGAAGCTCAAATATGTCCAATGAATCTTTGTCTTTCTTATTCTGTTCGTTTGATGGCGGGTAGTGGCTTGCTGGGAGGGGAGGGGGTTGATTGGCGGGGGAGTAGGAGGGAGGGGAGGGAGGGAGGAGGGGAGGGGGGAAGGGAATTGAAGGGAAGGGACGAGAAAGGGAAGGAAGGGAAGGGATAGGGGAAGGGAAAGGGAATTCCTTTCCTTTCCTTTCCTTTTCCTTTTCCTTTCCTTTCCTTTCCTTTCCTTTCCTTCCTTTCCTTTCCTTTCCTTTTCCTTTCCTTTCCTTCCTTTCCTTTCCTTTCCTTTCCTTTCCTTTCCTTTCCTTTCCCTTTCCTTTCCTTTCCTTTCCTTTCCTTTCCTTTCCTTTCCTTTCCTTTCCTTTCCTTTCCTTTCCTTTCCTTCCCTTTCCTTCCCTTTCCTTCCCTTCCTTTCCTTTCCTTTCCTTCCCTTTCCTTCCCTTCCTTTCCTTTCCTTTCCTTTCCTTTCCTTCCTTCCTTTCCTTTCCTTTCCTTTCCTTTCCTTTCCTTTCCTTTCCTTTCCTTTCCTTTCCTTTCCTTTCCTTTCCTTTCCTTTCCTTTCCTTCCTTTCCTCTCCTTTCCTTTCCTTTCCTTTCCTTTCCTTTCCTTTCCTTTCCTTTCCTTTCCTTTCCTTTCCTTTCCTTTCCTTTCCTTTCCTTTCCTTTCCACACCTTTCCTTTCCTTTCCTTTCCTTTCCTTTCCTTTCCTTTCCTTTCCTTTCTTCCTAATTAAATTCTTGCACTTTGAATCACAAAGTTTGACACCATGGTACCTAGCAAATTGTTACTTTTAGTCCACATCTGGCTTGGTAGAAGTGAATAATAGCTATCCTGTCCCACACTTAACAATGTATTTTTTAAGGTTTTTCTGCAAGTTCTATAGATAGCTTTTGATAAGTTATTTTCATTTAATTACTAAATATGAATTTCAAAATTAACTTTGAAAATTAAACTGATTATTCCTTGTTCAGAAATGGCAAGCTTTGTTCAGAAATGAACTTATGAAGATGTCTGTCCTCCTGAAAAAAATGCTACTCGTATTGAGGCCTTGCTTCCCAGGACATTACCAAACATCACTTGTTGATGGGAAGTAGAGAATAAATATTCCCCCCCCTCCCCGCCGTGCTTTTGCATGGTGTTTGCTCATTTATTTCCCTCCTCCTTTCCTCTTTAATTAAATCGTTGTTGTTGTTGTTTATTTGTTTGTTTGTTTTTATTTCCTGTATACTTTCCTCTCCCCCTCTTTTTCTTCTGAGAGGGAGTGAGAGAACGATTGTTGTGGAGTTCAGCTGTCCAGCAGGTAAAAACCCCACACATTATGACCCTGCAACTGCATACAGACTTCTAACTCCTCTGATCCACCCCCACACCTGCCATTTTTCTTCATGTGTTAGTGTATGGATATTTCAGAGATATACCATCTAAGGCTTAACTCCCAGAGAAGATATAAGACCTTGCCCCATTATGCTGCTCTGTAGGCAGTTCCTTATTTTTGAAGATACACTTCAGGTAGATCTCATTCTGCCCTGTTTTATTGAATATGAAATTTTTGAGAGCACCCCTGAGGAGAAGGACCTAGGGGTGTTGGTTGATGAGAAGCTTGATGTGAGTCAGCATTGTGCCCTTGCAGACCAGAAAGCCAACCATATCCTGGGTTTCATCAAAAGAAGCATGGCCAGCAGGCTGAGGGAGGTGATTCTCCTCCTCTACTCTGCTCTTGTGAGACCCTACCTAGAGTACTGCATTTAGCTTTGAGGCCTCAAGCACAAGAAGGCCATAGATGCATTAGAATGAGCTCAGAGGAATGCAGCAAGGATGGTAAGAGAGTTGGAACACCTTTCCTACGAAGACAGATTGAGGGATTTGGGGTTGTTCAGCCTGGAGAAGAGAAGGCTCTGGGGAGACCTTATAGTGGCTTTCTAGTACCTAAAGGGAGCTACAGGACAGATGAGGAGGGACACTTTGTCAGGGAGTATAGTGATAGGACAAGAAAGTAACGGCTTTAAACTAAAAAGTGTAAATTTAGATAAGATAGTTAGAAGAAATTCTTTACTGTGAGGGTGGTTAGGCGCTGGAACAGGTTGCCCAGAGAGGTTGTAGATGCCGCATCCCTAGAATTCTTCAAGGCCAGGTCAGATGGGTCTTTGAGTAACCTGGTCTAGTGGAAAGTGTCGCTGCCCATGGCAGGAGGTTTGGAACTTCATAATCTTTAAGGTCCCTTCCAACCCAAACTATTCTATGATTCTACGATTGCTCTTGTCCACATCACCCTGTACCCTTTGCTTAACAACTTGGTCTAACGCTTCCTTGCTTGGTTTTGTGCCATCATCCTCAACTTGCTTTGTTCCTTGTTCAAAGTTCTCCTTGTCAGCCAGTTGGGAAAAATGTTTTCCTCTACCTAATCAGGTGGATACCATCTCTCTCTGGCAACTCTCAATCCTCAAATGCCTTCCAATGGTTTTAAAACCATATATCTGTTGTCAACGTCAGATGTGCAAACAGTTGTCAACACTAAGAATGTCTGCTCCTCGAGTCATTCACCCTCATCAGTTTCAATGAGAAACCCAGCCTTTATCCTTGCTGCTTTAGCCATATAACTTGATATTCTCCATGTCTCCCTGGTATTGTTGGTGCCCATGTGGAAGCATAGCAGTTGATAATGGACAAGTTTCAGCAGACTCTCCCCAGTATCTTGGGCTTGAGCCGCTGGCAAGAAGCAGTATTTGGAAGTTAGACATTGTAATATTGAACCTTAGAACCTCCTGCTTGCAGTTTTATGCCTTAAAATTTAGTATAAACGGGACATTGTTAAATTAATTTGGAATCATCGGTGATATCATTTTCAATCAACTGTATCTTCATACTTAGTAAATCACAGGATTTAAGTAACAGGGATTCCAGGGGTCACGTGTGTGGAAAGATGCTATAAGATGCCATATGACAGTAACAACCAGTTACAGACATCTCTGAAACTGGTGTGAGTAGTCCATCATGCACAAAAACTTCAGACCAACATCAGAACTCTTTGTGAGACATAATTTAGACATAAATGAGAAGCTGCTAAGGGCTGCAGATGCTTCTAGAGATGCTGCTGGAAAGGCATTTGAAGTCAAGAGGGTTACATATACCCCTAAAGGGACAAGAGTCTTCAGGAGACCCATGCTGAGGTGAGCTGAAGGACTGTGGTCTTGGGCAATCCACATCAAGGCACAGACACCCTTGAAGTACTGCAGTAGGATGCAACACAGGAAAATTTGAAGATGCAAAAGCAGAAGATGCACTGGCAGAGGTCATTACACATATAGCCCCAGACTTCTATGCCAGTCAACACCTCACTGAAGGAATTGGGACTGAGTGTAACTCAGGTTGAAAATTAGAGGATCTGCAACTATGTATTTGGCTTAATTTGAGTCTAGGGAATATGAAAGAAAGGGGTTTTATGTAACTATTTAATTGCTTTTGTTTTATTTTTTCTTCAATACCCAAGTCAACAATCAGAAATTTATATGAATTGGCAATGAATTAAATTAAGTAATAATTCCCCAAGTCAAGAGTGTTTTGTGTACAACAGCATAACACACAAATCAAGATTTTACAGAACTCTTTCAGGGAGCACTTCTGTGATCTAAGGGGGGGGCATAATGATGAAATAGTGATACATAGCATATTCAAGAACAATTTATATTCTTCTGGCACTCAGAGAAATAGGAGTCAAACTAATTCTGCATCTTTCTAATCAAGAAGGCTCAAACAAACATAACAACCTTTTGTCTTAAGCAGCTGGTCTTAAAAAGTCTTGATACAGAATTAATCTATTACTGCATTAATTGTCTGTGTGTCTGTAATATTATTCATAATCTAATCCTGACAAGTAAAATTTAAGTTTGTTCTGTATTATGGAACTCAGATTCTCCTACCAGCTCCACCACAAGAAATTTTTATTTTTATTTTGTTTTGTTTTGTTTGCATTTTGATCTGGGAAGCTGCAATACAGAAATATTTAGAAATTTCCATTAGGTAATTGTTAACTATTAAAAGACCTTCTGGAAACAAATGGCAAAAGTCATAAATAAATAAATTGATTTTTTTTCTCCTTTTTTTTTTTTTTTTTTTTTTTATTCCCCTAGGAAAGAATCAAAAACAGAAGCTATATTGGCTTGTTCAAAAATAAATGTCATCGTACTTATTAGAATGCAAAAGCTTCTAAATTCTATTCCACATATCCTCTCAGTCTGGTTGTTTCTCACATAATTCATCTTTCTCATTGTTTTATTGTTTTACAGGTCATGAAAAGGACAGGCAAAAGAAAGTGAACATGGAAAATTTAATCCCTCCATATGACTGTATATTTCTTGATTGCTGTTTTATTTTCATTTATATATCTTGAGATTTTTTTCATTATATTAAAAAGATTGAGGTAATCTGCACATAAGTTACATGTATTACAGAAGCTGTAGCAGCAAAATATTAAGACAAAGTTATTTCCTAAGTACCTGAAAATACAGAAAAGCTAATTGTTCAAACTGTTACACATGATTTCTCAAAAGTGTTTTAAATATGTATGATCCTTTGGGAAACAAGAGTGATGGTAATAAGATAACTGAACAATATGGCAACATATGGCAAAGGAACATACTATTCCTTTTTAGGAATAGTATGTCTAATAAGTAGATCCAAAGTCAAACACTGTATAGTCTGATTTTGCATGGAAATAACAACTGTGACATATGCTAGAAGAGTCTGATTTTTATACCACAATCTTATTTATACAGGTTGTCATACCAGTAAGCTTCACTGAACTGAAACTGAATTACTATGTTATTAGAAATGTTATCACACTTCTCAGTGCCACTTGCAGTAAGGAAATTTTGGCTCATAAGGATTGTCTGCAATTTTTCATGGAAATATAATTTTAAAAATAAGTAAAAATATCATATATATCAAATTAAACTACAGTGCAATAAAATTCAATATAATACGTCTTCCCTCTACTCCCCTTCATTTTGCAACGAGTCAGTAATAGTATCTTCATCAGGACTTATTTCAGGTGTTCCATTGTCATCATGCTCTTTTAGGTCAAACTACATATATTACTGGAATATCACTTGTGGAAACTCAGAAAACATGTGGAATGTATGAAGATATATGGGACAACAGCATGGGACAACAGCATTCTTCCATTCCTCAAGGAGATATAGTTAAGCACACCAAAATATTACAGCTTTACTCTGAAGATCATAGTGCATGCACGCTGGCTGTTCTTGAGTACATTCAAGAAAAAAAAAAAAAAAAAAAAAAAAAAAGGACAAATGGTCATGAAATACAATTTTTAGCTGGAGAATGAAAGAAGCTCAAGAAAAAAAAAAAAATATGTATATATATATATGTCTATTCTATTTTCTTTCTAGCAGACAAATTATGCAATATTTATTTGCAGCCAGCTGCAGCAGAGTATGAGTTTGTGTCCTGGTTTTGGCTAAGATAGAGTTAATTTTCCCCTAGTAGCTGGTGTCATGCTGTGATTGGGATTTAAGATGAGAATAATATTGATAACATGCTGATGTTTTAATTGTTGCAAAGCAGTGCTTATGCTAAGCCAAGGACTTTTCAGCTTCTCACACTGCCCTGCCAGTGAGGAGGCTGGGGGTGCACAAGAAGCTGGGAGGCGTCAGAACCAGGATAGCTGACCCAAACTGGCCAAAGGGGTATTCCATACCATATGACGTCATGCTGACTAATTAATATGGGGTGGCTGGATGGGGTGGGAAGGATTACTGCTCGGAGTTGGGCTAGCTTGAGCTCTTTGTACAGATTATTATTATTCCTGTTATTATTGTTAATAATAATTTTCTGTGCTATTAAGCTGTCTATCTCAACCTACTCGCATTTACCTTTTTTTTTTTTTTTTTCTCTCCCATCCCGCTGCGAGGTAGGAAGAGTAAATGGCTGTGTGGTGTTTACCTGCCTGACTGGTTAAATCAAAACAGTTTGTTAAAAAATTACAGCTGTAACTGAAAGCACATGAGAGGGGAAACAAAACAAAACAAAAAGATTAGTAAGGGCAGTTTCTTCTCCATGTCTGGAGAAGCTGAGCAGAGCAGAAGAGCAAAATATGATCTTGCTGATGCACAAGTAGTGTGGACAAATCTGTACTAAACTTTTGAAAGGACTCTATTGAAATGGTCAACTAATGCCAAAGATCTCTTGGTTCACCTGTACACAGCTGAAGAATTTCAGTTTGAGTGGAAGAATTTATTCATCCAAACGATTATTGTAGGTGGGAGACTGGAGTACCTGATAGTAGGAAGAAGAAAACTTTACCTTTTTCCATTTGTTAGGGACCTCTGCCAATTTCTGGTACCTATCAAATATGATAAAAAATGATATTTCAAGGATATCAGGTAGCACTATTGGAAGCAGCCCGTGGATCAGAAATAGATCTTAGAGCGCAGCTTCTTATAAAATTAAAATAAATTTAGAGAAGAATATTAACACTTTCATGAACAAAATAACAAGAACAAGCATGGTCAAGCCTAGAAATGTTGGTTTCTTTCCCATGTACCTATTTTCCTTAAAGTCAGCAAGAACCACATGATCTTATTCCTATAGATAATTCCATGTCTGTGTTCTTGGTTTTCATAGAATCATAGAATAGCCTAAACTGGAAGGAACCCAAAAGGATCATTGATTCCATCTCCTGGTTCTGCACAGTTTTGCCCAAAAATTCAGACCATATGACTAAGAGCCAAATGCATAATAGTCCAAACATTTCTTAAACTCCAACAGGCTTGGTGCTCTGACTACGTCCCTGGTAAGCCTGTTCCAGTGAGCAAATGCCCTCTTGGTGAAGAACCTTTACCTGATATCCAACCTGAACTTCCCCTGTTTAAGCTTGACACCATTCCCTCAGGTCCTATCACTATCACTAAAGAGAATAGGTTGGTGCCTGCCGCTCCACTCCCCCTTGTGAGGAAGCTGTAAACTGCGATGAGGTCTCCCCTCAGCTTCCTCTTCTCCAGGCTGAACAGACCTAGTGACCTCAGCCACTCTTCATATGTCTTCCCCTCTAGACCCTTCACCATCTTTGTAGCCCATCTCTGGACACTCTCCAATAGTTGCAGATCCCTTTTGTACTGTGACACTCAAAACTGCACACAGTACTCGAGGTGAAGCTACACCAGCACAGAGTAGAGAAAGACAATCACTTGCCTCAACTGACTAGCAATGCTGTGCTTGATGCACCCCAGGATACGGTTGGCCCTCCTGGCTGCCAGGGCACACTGCTGGCTCATATTCATCTTGCTGTCAACAAAAACCCCCAGATCCACCCTCATTCGAGTCCACAACTCCCCCAGGAGGAGTTGTGGACTCGAATGAGGGTGGAAAGGCCTTGCAGAGGGATCTGGATAGGTTGGAGAGCTGGGCGATTGCCAACCGCATGAAGTTCAATAAGAGCAAGTGCCGGGTCCTGCACCTGGGACGGGGAAACCCTGGCTGCACGTACAGACTGGGCGATGAGACGCTGGAGAGCAGCCTAGAAGAGAGGGATCTGGGGGTCGTGGTAGACAACAAGTTGAATATGAGCCGGCAGTGTGCCCTGGCAGCCAGGAGGGCCAACCGTGTCCTGGGGTGCATCAAGCACGGCATCGCTAGTAGGTCGAGGGAGGTGATTGTCCCGCTCTACTCTGCGCTGGTGCGGCCTCACCTCGAGTACTGTGTGCAGTTCTGGGCACCACGGTATAAAAAGGACATGAAACTGTTGGAGAGTGTCCAGAGGAGGGCTACGAAGATTGTGAAAGGCCTGGAGGGGAAGACGTACGAGGAACGGCTGAGGACACTGGGCCTGTTCAGCCTGGAGAAGAGGAGGCTGAGGGGAGACCTCATCGCAGTCTACAACTTCCTCGTAAGGGGGTGTCGAGAGGCAGGAGACCTTTTCTCCATTAACACCAGCGACAGGACCCGCGGGAACGGGGTTAAGCTGAGGCAGGGGAAGTTTAGGCTTGACATCAGGGGGAAGTTCTTCACAGAGAGAGTGGTTGCACACTGGAACAGGCTCCCCAGGGAAGTGGTCACTGCACCGAGCCTGACTGAATTTAAGAAGAGATTGGACTGTGCACTTAGTCACATGGTCTGAACTTGGGTAGACCTGTGCGGTGTCAAGAGTTGGACTTGATGATCCTTAAGGGTCCCTTCCAACTCAGGATATTCTATGATTCTATGATTCTATGATCCCTCTCTGCGGGGCTGCTCTCCAGCATCTCATCACCCACTCTGTATGCATAGACAGTGTTGCCCCTTCTCAGGTGCAGGACCTGGCACTTGCTCTTGTTAACCTTCATATGGTTGGTGATTGCCCAGCTCTCCAATCTGCCCAGATCCCTCTGCAAGGACTTTCCACCCTCGACAGAGTCAACAGTTCCTCCCAGTTTAGTATCATCAAAAAACTTACTCAAAACACTTTCTAGTCCTTCATCCAAAACATTATGAAATGTTTTATGAAAACATTGAAAAGAACTAGTCCTAAAATAGAGCCCTGGGGGACCACACTGTTGACTGGGCCTCAATCTGATGTAACCCCATTTACCATAACACTTTGAGCACTACATGTCTGCCAATTATTCACTTATCATATGTTTTATCTAGCTGTATGCAGGATATTTTGTCCAGTAGTTTCCTATGGGGAACTGTGTCAAAAGCTTTACTGAAATCCATAAATATTATATCAACTGGCTACCCTTGATCAACTAGATGGGTGATTTTATCATATGAGGAAACCAAATTTGTTAAACAGGACCTACCGTTTGTGAACCCATGTTGGTTGTGACCCATGACTGCGTTGTCCCCCAGGTGTATTTCAGTAACTTCAAAGATAATCTTCTCCATAATTTTACCAAGCATTCATGTGAGACTGACAGGCCTATAGATACCAGGATCTTCTGTCTTGCCCTTCCTGAAAATTGGCACATTTGCCAGCTTCCAGGCAACTGGGACCTCTACAGATTCCCAAGACCAATGAAAAATAATTGTGAGAGGTCCCATGATGATGTCAGACAGATCTCTGAGCACCCTGGTATGAATCCCATCCAGACCCATGGATTTGTATGGATCCAGGTGAATCAGCAAATCCTGCACACACTCGGGGTTGTCTGGGAGTTTACCATTCCCACCATTACAGTCCTCCAGCTCAGGGCCCCCCAGGGTCCCAAAGCTCATCTTCAGTGTTGAAGACGGAGGTAAATAAAGCACTAAATATCTCTGCTTTGCCTATGTCATTCTTTGTGAGGTGACCATCTTCATCAAGTAGTGGACCTGTTTTCTCTGATCCTTCTTTTTCTGTTCACATATTTTAAAAAAAGCCTTTTTTATTGTCTCCCACAGACCTGTCTGGCTTCAACTCTAATTGGGCTTTGGCTGCACAAATTTTCTCCCTACAAAGGCGAACAGCATTCCTTTAGTCCTTCCATGTTGCCTGACCCTGCTTCCAGCAGCCATACACTTTCTTTTGGTGCCTAACTGTGAGGAATGTTTTAACAATTCCAATTCGTGTCCATAAATTCGTGTCCATAAATTCGTGTCCATAAAGAATAATTCTGTTTGAATCCTGTCTGCCTCTGGGCCCTGCACTGGCAATTTAGTTCTTGAACCACAGATGCAGTGTGTCCCATTCTCCCCCTCATTCTAGTCAATTTATCACGTCTTCAGAAAACACTCCTTAAATTTATGAATCTGTTTGCTTTTGTTATTCCGGACTTCTATTTCTAACAGTTACAGCCTTTTTTCCTGTCTTCTTCGAGATTAACTTAACACTGCTATAGATGTGTCTGTGAATGGCTGGGGAAGAATGTTTTAATTACTCGTGAAGCGTCAAATAAGAAAGCTGTTTGTGTTTGATGTCTGGGAGTTTCAGAACAACTGATAACAACTAGTGACTGTTATGAGATCCTTGGTATCTGGCCAGGGGGGCCAAGAGATTAAGAGGAAGAAAAAAGAAGCTGAAGGACAGTTGGGAGACAAGACCTGTGGAGAGTGTACAGAGAGTGTTCCATAAACTTGGAATAGTGCCGAGTAAGTACAAAGGGTGAGAGGAAGACTACAAGCCTTCAGCATGAAAGACCCCTAGAGACCCCCAGAGGAGACTGATGCGCATGCTCCAGTAGGAGGAACTGGACCCCGGAAGCTAATTATAATAATCTATTTTT